TGGGCTTACCCATAGTTATTAAACATGATTCCATTATGCGGGTTGATCCAAGAAATGTAAGGATATATAGTCTAATTTAGATCGGATTTTTATTTGAATGGAACAAGATACAAACTTAGTAAAATTTAGTTGATTTAATTTCAATGGATCCTTCAAACCAAATCAAGCTAGCAGAAAATATATATATTATTTTAATAAAAATAATTAATTCATGTTAATCCAATAACCTATATTATTTTTCAGGTTGGTTCCAATTTGACAAATATGAATTTATGGTTAGAATATAAATAAATATTAATTTTTAATATGTATTTCTATTTTTCCTTAAAAGGATGTCTAGATTTAATCCGAATAAATTTGACATTTCTAATACTAATTTATATGAATAATAATTAAGATATTATCACTCACTGATTTATTTAAATAAAATAAATATCCACGAACAGTTCCTCATCCCTCATCATAACATTTCCAGTCCTGCGACCTCACACACTCAATATAAATGGAATTTAATGGTAATCAAATGGATATGAGCTTCAAGAGAGAAAAGGGGTGTGTGTGTGCGTGGCATCGCATTTCATAATGTTTCTTCACCGTGACTAATGAGAATGATGCTGGCACGATCGTGGTTGCACGTATTCAAGAAAAATTATAATATATAAAATATACATGATCATGGATGTCATTCATGATATCCTTTTTTCCTTTTGCTAATCAAGTGCATTTTCCGGATCATCATTACATAATTGAATGACTAATACGGAATTAAATATTTCATTGAGATTCAATCTCAAGGCTATCATTTAATCTATCTTAGCCATCAAGGAACAGACCAATTTCTACACATCAAGACCCTTTTTTTAAAATCAGATTTTAGACTAATAATTTATATTCAAGCTGATGTATCAAAGCTATAATTATTTAATGTTTGAGTATTACTAATAGTTACACCACTAGTAATACTCAAACAATACTCGTCGATGCTCCTCTGTGAGTCTCTGACTATGACAGCCATAACGCCCACCAGTGCATCAACTTCAACAACATCAATGTGCTTGCTTGCGGCAGTTGTAAGAAAAACATCAATCCATTGTCGTGACCAAATATTTGTTAAAGTTGATGTTTTCAATGATACACTAAATTGATCATGCATCTCAACTAATGACAATATCCAAACAAGCCACTATCCTTAACAATTGGTTTTTTTTTTTAAAAAAAAAAAAAAAAAACCTTTTAAAGTTGACTCTACAACATATCAGGTAGTGGTGGACGAGTAACCACTTACGAGGACAATATTGTAATCTTGCAATAATCAGCTAGCTTCATTTTCAGAGAACAATAATTTATCACTTTTGACAAATTCTGCATCTTTTAACAACTCAACTTGTTTTTGTGGGCTATGGTTAGGTGGGTTTATGTGCAAGTACAGTACCTTTTCTGTCAGTCAACTAACCACCTACATTATCACCTAATCAGAACTAATTTAAAAACAAATTACAAAAAGATTATCTCCAATCTCTTCTGGCTGTCACGTGACGTGGGTCCCCATCACGAGTCTTGATCAAAATTATGACTGTTTGATCTAATAAATCAAAGTGCTCACAGCTCACCAAATTTTATCTTCCAGGAAATGGTCACAGTCGACTTGCTCTGCTTCTTTTAACCACCAAAACAGAGTCACTCTGCCACACATTATCCTCTGCAGAAATCTCTAAAAAAACGTGATCTCCCTCGGTTTCTAGTCGTTAAAGATAAAATTAAATTTCCATGATTGCCTTGGATTAAATCTAACATACCTTATAAATTATTAAAAAAAAAAACTACTGTTATCAAAAATCACTTATGGTTCAGTCAGCAACATCTATTATAATATTATTAGAAAAACCATTTTGATAGAATTAATTTTTTTATTTGATGAATTTTAAGAATTCCAATACTCTTTCATCTCTGTGTCAACTATTATTTCTTATTTTAATATGCTATAAACCGAGTAGATGTAAAAAAAATTCTTTTGATTGGTGAGATAATTAATATTAAATTTAGGTGGAAAAGGCTGCGGGGGGTGTACGGATACAAAAGAAAACAAAAGCACAGATTTAAATCACGTCGAAAAGCGTTATTAAAGTGACCAAAACGACAATGTTTAATCCGCCCGACACCCTTCCCCACTCGCTCCAAAAGCATCATCTTACGGGTTCAAAAACTGCACGCGCTTCAGCTTTGTGTGGAATTATTATTTTTCGTTAGTATCAAAATTTGGCGGTTATGATAGACGTGTATGTCACGTGGAAAGGGTGCGACAAACAACTATCTTGCCTGGAAGTAATGAAATTGTTAGAAAAGTTCCTGAGTGAATCACTCCCACTTACATTAGCCTATATAAAAAGCTTGCATTTTTTAGCAAGATTTTTATTAATATCGAATAGCTAGTAAAAAAAATATTATAAATTTTAATTTTATTAGATAATATTTTATGAAATGGTGCATGACCGGGTATCTAGAAAAATTATATATGAATTTTTTTATATAAAAATAAAATATGAAAACAAATATTGAAATTTCAAGAATATTACTCTATAAAATAAAACATACTGATTATACATACAAATAACCTCCATGAATTTAGGTTTTTTATATATCCAAATAATTTATATGATCCTTATAGAAGAGATTTATTTTTAGATTTGCATTTCCTCCTCAAGCTTTAAAATAAAATGATAACTAAGCAAGTTTTTTTAATTTTTCATTGAAAGTCTTAAACCATCTTGAGTTACATAATACAAGGTCATTTTTTTTGTTATTCTAGAATTAAGACACCAAGAAGGTGGATTAAACATTCCTTTAATTATAATATTGATAATATAATAAAAAATAATATAATTAAAGTATTTTAAAAAAAAAAAGATTTAAAACTTGATTTTTAATATGATATAATAAGTCTATATTCACATCTCATTCACATATCAAATACCAATTATACTTTAATATTATACAATTTTATTAATTCAAGTAAAAGATATAACAGTATTAATTAATCCAAACCAAATAATCACACCATTTAAAGATGTTGCCTATTCAAAAAAAAAAAAAAATTATAATGATTCCTTGTTAATACTAAAAATTTATCTAAACTTTGAGCTGTTTACCATTATAATTTTTTTACAATAATATCTACTTTCTTAATATAATAGACTGTATAGTTGAAAACTATAATATATGTATAACTCACTCAGTAATACTCACGATGATTGAAAATGTGTAATTGTAAAAATAAAAAAAAATTAAAACTTGATTTTTAATATAATTTAGTAAGTCTATATTCACATCTCATTCACTCTCAAGTACCAATTATACTTTAATATTATACAATTTTACTAATTCAAGTAAGAGATATAATGGTATTAATTAATCCAAACCAAATAATCACACCATTTAAAGATGTTGCCTATTCAAAAAAAAAAAATTGTAATGATTCCTCGTTAATACTAAAAGTTTATCTAAACTTTGAGCTGTTTACCATTATAATTTTTTTACAATAATATCTACTTTCTTAATATAATAGACTGTATAATTGAAAACTATAATATATATATATAACTCACTCAATAATACTCACGATGATTGAAAATGTGTAATTGTAATGAATATAAGATTTTTATGCTCTGTGTATTCTAATATAAAGATTTAATTTAACACAGTTTGTGGTATGCTGTAATTGATGATATTTGATTGTCTTTTCTTTTAGAATAGCTTATATATTATGTATACTCGTGATCTCTCTTTAATTTTGCATAAAAAAGAGTTTTATATATGTTTCTATGAGAAATTAATTGTTTGATAGCTTTTGGAACATCTTTGATGGCTAAAGCGGGTGACCAGTTCAAATGAACATGTCATTTGGTTAAGCTATTATAATAAAAATCTCAAATGTTTATCACAGATGAATAACGATATACCGGTTTGCTTCATATGTCTAAACAGTTGGAACGTATCTGACAGCTAAAATGGGTTCAAGTGACCATATCATTGATCAACTAGTTTCAATAATATTATGACGTGTTTATCATAGATGAACAATGATTGATTGGTTCATTTAATATACCCAAACAATCAACCTATTTAATTTTAAAATTAATTTTGATAGTTTCAAACATAATAAAACTTGAACGATTAAATATACATCAATTATATTTATATATGGAGTGTAAAGTGTATGAATTTATTTTAGTCTACTATTGAGTAGGATATAAAGATTTGATAATAAGCATAAAAAAATCTTTAAAAACTAAATTTTCACTTGTTTTATATTCTAAACTTGTTGATAAATATTTTTATCCAGTCCCCTGTATTTCCTGATATAATTTTTATATAAATTTTTTAAAATTTAATCTCAACTAAGCATATTATGAGTATATTTTTATTTAATTATTATCATTAAAATATATGAAATATTAATATATTTGGTTTAAAATTCAACACCTTTTTTCTGTTATTCTTAGTTATTATCCATCAACTATAACGTTTAATTTACTTGTATTCTCTAAAATATTAATTTATAAAATCGATGATGCAATATGTGACTGATTTTAGTATAAAAATATTTTTTAAGTTAATAACATGTGTGTTGGTGCAAGAATTTGAAGTGCTTTGAAATTATCACTTGCAGTGCACACAAACGTTATTTATTTATTTTTTAACTTAAATGAGTTTTTTATACTAACTCATGAAAATATTTCGCAAACTTATATTATAATTATCGTATGTTACATGTGTGCACGTTAACGTAAGAATAGAAAATAAAAATGGGGCAACTTTTCCTGTAAAATCATCCAAACAAACTAACCATTACCATCTATAACCCACGCGTCCAAATCTTACTACAACTCGGCGTCCAGTTTCCATAACATCACCCGCACCCAACCACCCCTGTATAAATATACAAGATGGAAAGGTCTCGGCGCAGTCCAATTCCAGGGAACGCCTGAAAGGGTCTGGAACTCAATCTGTCGCGGGACCCTCGTAAAAAATTTAAATTAAATAAATAATACAAAAATGTATTTTTCGTAACTGTAGCAACAGCAACAGAAGTCTTCCTCCGCTCTGCTCTGTCCTCTTCTCCGCTCTGCTCATCAGCTTTGATACATTCTTTCTCCTGCCTTTCAGAAGTTAGCTTTCAACAACTCTCTCGTTCTTTTTTCTACAATGAAGAAAAAGACGAGAGAAACCAAACAGCGTAGCATCGCTGCCGCCTTGCTCCACTGGATTTTCTTTACGAGTCACTACTTGCTTCAGTTTCCGTTACTCTCCGCTGTCTTCGCTTTCCTCCTTTTCTTTGCTGCCTTCTCTGTCATCTCCCCTCTTCCTCCTATCATCAACCACCACCGCTCCTCGAAGGTACTGTCTCTGCCTTTCTGATTTTGGCGGCTGTGGTTGTTTATTTTGTTCGTTCTCATTTGAGCAGGACGTTTACGTTTCTCTTTTTATTGTTTTAATTAATTAATTAGTAATTACCTAGCTAATGAGAATGATTTTCTGTTTTGTGTTATGAGGTAGTTAAAAAATGGAGCTAAAGTAGACGAATCAACGTTGAGTGCAGAGACGTCGCCGTTTCGTGTTCCGGTTTGTAACTTATACGACCAGTCTTTGTTCTTTAGCACATCGTGTCTGTGTGTTTAGCTTTAGTTTGCCTGATTTTATTTTTTGGTTTTCTGAAATGGTTAGAGAAGTGGAGGGCGTCATTTATGGAACTCAAGGTTATCGAAGTTTTACCATGGCTGCAGTAACGCCAACGATAGCTTTCAAAGTAAATTCTAGTGGCTTTAATATCTGCTGTTTTCCTCTTTATTTGGAGATTTTTGGTTTTGATGATAATCTTGTGTTTGTTTATGAATTATTGTAGGAATGCTTCGAATATTAAATATTAATCACATTGAGAAATTTATTAAAAAAAGATGACGAAGCTGGTCTTAATTAGAAGGGGGCATGTGTTTAATCTGGGAGTGGCAACAGATTTCATGTCTAATCTTGTTCATTTATGGAGTTATGCCAGGGAATCTTTTTAATTTGTTGAGATACACTATGGAGTATTTTTTTCTTTTCTTTTACTTTTGACTGCTAATCTGATCAGAAGACTTTAGACATTAATTTGGAGTTGTGTTGTTATATGATGTAGCTGCTGATTTGAAAACGAATAGTAATCGGTACTTGTTGATTGCTACAAGTGGAGGGTTAAATCAACAGAGAACAGGGGTGAGTTTCTTACATTTTGAGTTTTGGAAATAAACTTGATGCAATTTTAGCTGATAGTTTACTGCCAATGGTGGGTTTGCCTTAAAATAGATAGGACGGTAAATTAGTTCGTGATTCTGAGATTTTTATAACCATTATGGCCGCAGATAACAGATGGTGTTGTTGCAGCTTATATTTTGAATGCTACTCTTGTTGTTCCTAAGCTGGATCAGAAGTCTTTCTGGAATGATAGTAGGTATGTCCGCAGATAACAACTTGTATTCATTGTTAACATTCTCAATTCTTTTTGCTCAAATATCAGCATGTTCATATTATTCTGGTGTTTGATGCAGTGATTTTGCTGAAATATTTGATGTTGACTCGTTCATTTCATTCCTATCAAAAGATGTTACTATTATCAAACAGCTCCCTACTAAGGGTGGGAAAGTTTTGACCCCGTATAGAATGCGTGCTCCGAGGAAGTGTACTCCAAAATGCTATCTGACTAAAGTTTTACCTGTTCTTAATAAGAAGCATGTAAGCTTTCTGCTAAAAGTGCAGCTTGAAAATCGTGTTTCTTTAAATTCTATGTTTTCATTTTTTTTCTCACTTCATGACTGTACACGGTGCAACCTAAAAAATATGAAAAGCTTTAACGGGAAACAAATTTATCACTCTTACTTTTCTAGTATTGTTTGGTAGATTAATGAAAAGGTTGAATATGGATATAAATCACTGACTTATGAGTTCAATTCTTTCAACGTTGCATCAGCAATAGATGCTAGAGGAATGTGATATACCAAGCTAGCCAAAACATATCTGTATAATGAGTTGTATTATGGTTAATGTTTAGCTAAAATTTCAATCTATCATGATTGTGTTAGAATTCATGAAAGGATGCACAAAATGGAAAATAATATAACTACAGTTTCATCAACTTCGCTGTTTGTATTTACTTAGGTGAAACGCTGGAATTTTGGAAAGCGACCATCCTTGGCCAAACTCTAATTTCAATGTAGAATTTGATATGCATAGAAGCAGGGACATACGACCACAATATCTGTGCGGTTGTGAAACTGAAAACCAATTAGGGAAAGCAGGGACAGAATATCTGAAGCTGTTGGATGTTCATTTTGGTTTCAAAATTTTGAAATATTTTGTTAGTTTCTTGATTTGCAGCATTGGTTTCAGGGTATTCATGAGATTTTAAACTCATGAACTTTAATGACACATTACTTACGTTGATTGAATACTGCTCGGCTTCCTCTTTCTTTCTGTTTATGTTAACTAACATTTGCTGGCCATCCCTTGATTTTATAGGTTGTTCAGCTCGGAAAGTTTGATTACAGGCTCTCAAATAGGTTGAGCCCAGATTTACAAAAGCTAAGATGTAGAGTCAACTACCATGCTTTAAAATTCACAGACTCAATTTTGGAAATGGGCAAAAAGCTGGTTCAGAGAATGAGAATGAAAAGTGAGCACTTTATTGCCCTGCACTTGAGGTAATATCCTTTTGAATGCTTGATTTATGGTAGTTTTCTTCTAGAAACTTTATTGTCGTTTGAATCATTGTCTAGCAAGTTTTTATTACTATAGAATTGTGTTGGGGAATTTTTTTTTTTTTTTCACCTATGCTAAGCTTAGAATAGTCAACATAGGAAAGGGTCAGAGCAATAACACAAATTTAACGTTATCATGTTATAGGTTTGAACCTGACATGCTTGCATTCTCTGGATGCTATTTTGGCGGGGGAGAAAAAGAAAGAATGGAACTCGGCGAGATCCGGAGAAGGTGGAAATCTTTGCATGTGAGACCCCTGTAGTTTATCAGAACACATTGCATATCCTAAATGGTTTTTGAAGCATGGCTGATATGTTTATTTTGATGTGAACGCAGGCAAGTAATCCTGACAAAGAACGGAGGCAAGGAAAATGCCCTCTCACACCAGAGGAAGTTGGTCTTACGCTGAGAGCTTTGGGTTTCGGAAGCGATGTTCACTTATATGTGGCTTCAGGTGAAGTATATGGAGGTGAAGCAACATTAGAACCACTCAAAGCTCTCTTTCCGAATTTTCATTCAAAAGAGACTTTAGCAAGCAAGAGAGAGTTGGCACCATTTTCATCATTTTCTTCTCGAATGGCCGCACTGGATTTCATTGTTTGTGATGAAAGTGACGTTTTTTCTACCAACAACAATGGAAACATGGCCAAAATAATAGCTGGTCGAAGGTATGTAATTCTTTATTTCTTCAAGGCCTGAAGTTCGTTCTTTCCTTTTGTTTTATGCCTACAGTTTGTGCAGAAGCAATTCAAAGGCCTTATTAACAGGTGAATAATTTTCTCTTAGAAATGTTTATGCGCTTTTCTTGTTTTTGTTTTCAAGTCCAAACGGCTTAAACATTGAAGTATTCAATTCGTGGGGCTGGAAAATTATGAAGTTCTCTTGGTGTATATTACATTTGCCTTCAAAATCTTTTAAATGACACCTGAACTGTTCTACATCCTTGTAGTTTCCTAGACACCTTTGGTCTTGCTTTATGGCTATGGCAGCGCACTTATCCACGGTTACTTTGTCATGTTTTTGTATTGCAGGAGATACTTTGGGCACAAACCAACAGTTCGTCCAAATGCTAAAAAACTATACAAACTGTTCATAAACCGACATAACAAAACATGGGAAGAGTTTGCGTCCAGGGTTCGATCTCACCAAATTGGTTTCATGGGAGAGCCAAATGAGGTGAAGCCTGGAACTGGTGTGTTCCATGAAAATCCTTCATCCTGCATATGTCAGGATCCTGTAGCTAAGGCTGGGGCAGGTCTGAATCCTACTCCTCAGACTCTACCACACGAGGGACATAAAAATGTGAAAGAGAATACCGAGAGGAATGGGACCAGTGATGTGAGTGACGAGCACTCAATAGAGGACGATCATGATCAGGATGCGACTGACATGGATTATGTGGACAATGGAAATGTGGTCCAAGGTAAAGGCCTGGCTGGTGAAATGCTGTCGGAGGAATTCTTTTCTGACTGAGGAAGGAGACTGCATTTCTTCGCATAACAAGAGTAATGAATTCTTTAACCTAACCCAATTCTTCAACAAATTCTTTGGGTCTTCATCTTGCCCCCTTCTCCCCCTTTTCTTTTCAACGTCGACGGTTCATCGTCTTCTGCAGCTGGCATAGTGTGAAAAGACCTTTGTATATACAAAGGCCTAGGCAGCCTTTTGTTTTTCCTTATTGGTCGGCGATTCTTGCCGTAAGGTAAGATGGGTACATACAAGTAGAGGAGCATGGAAAATATACCAGATAGACAGCTCGGCAATGAAAATAAAATCGAGGGTGTTTCGTTTTGAGTAATCTATGTTGGAAGGGTGGTTAATTTTAATCAATGATCCATCGGCCATTGATTAAAAAATCCCATTATTATCAATTTTTGCTATTATTATTATTATTATTATTTCGCATCAATGTAATAAACTAAAAATCCATATAAACCACATGATGATTAATTATTAACAATCAAATTCTTGTTACCTAGATTCTTTCTTCTAATATATATTAAGCTATGGTCAGTGCTGATGTTTAAAAAATATTCAATTTCTTTTCAGTATCAGTGTCATTAAATTTTTTAAAACTATATATTTTAGATGAATCAATTATCAAACCTCGGTTATTGTGAAAATAAATCTTGCAAATAATCATTATTGTTTTTTTTTTGGAGTTTGCCTGAGGAATCATTATTTTCTTACAAGAATGACTTTTTATACTAATTTTTTTTAAAAAAAACATAAAAGGGTAAAAATCATAAAGAATAATCATTATTTTTATGTGTGGTTGTAGGAAATATTAAAAAAATATGTGAAAAAAATAATATTGAGAAAATAATAAAATAGTAGATGAGGGAACAATAAAGAAAATATATATAAAGAAGAGCCGGGCCTACTTAAATGCTGATCGTATGGGCTCGTGACATCCAGGCTTGAATGCTTGGATTGGAAACATACAATTATTTTTTCTTTAAAAAAAAGTTTGACAACCAAGCCACCAGTAATGATAATTACAGCACTCCATCACTATTGTGGATAAATTGGATAATTAGCATTTAAAATATAATTAAATATTTAAATATTATAGGATGAGAAAGTTTGGGTGAAAAATTATAATTTAAATATATTATAATATAAAAATATGATATTTTAATAATACTATGATTAAAAACACAATATTTGATATATATCACATTTTTTTACTATGACATTATTTAAATATAATAGTTCGTAATTGTTTTGAAAAAAAACTGAATATTTGATAAAACAATTAAATTATAGTTAAAACAATCAGATTATTTTAGCTATTATAAAGTTTTAGATTATTTTCATGTTTTAAATCTTAAAAAATTTATAAAATTATATTTTAAATTGTAATTAATATTGTGATCATGAAATATAATATTTTAAGTTATTATATTTTAAAAAAATATTTAATTGATATTATATTTTAAAAATATAATATTTAATAAATATCATAATTTATAAATACGATAAGGTGAAACTATTTTTTATTTTAATTTTTTTCTATATAATATAAAAATCTATTTTAAACTCAAAACACATTTCAAAATAACCCTAAAAATCCAACAGAAATATCCATCTATTTCATCAAAAAAACTTCATAAGAACGATGTCGTTTGGTTGCAAGAAAAAGGCCCTGACGGGCCCTGTCTTTATCGTTAGTAGTTGGAGAACAGTATACGTGACGAATATCGTGATCCATTTGAGAGGACGACGTGTCAACAGTCCCGTCCATAATTTTCTGCTCTTTCTGTCTTCTCAATGTCCCCCCTCAGCTGCCCTCCCACGGCAATGGCATGCAAACTCCCAACTCAGCTAGCAACCCCAGGAAACATCCATCACCACCGTAAATTCACCGCCACATCCACAACTAACTCCCTCTCCTGGCGTAGGATTCTATCGCCCGAACCTCTCCTCTCTCTTTTCACCTCATTTCCTTCAGGGAAATGTAATGTAATGCAACATGTCAAATGCAGTGCTAGTGGAACTGCAGAGGCACCAGGGGCAGTAAATTTAGGACCAGGGACTCCTGTTAGGCCAACTAGTATATTAGTTGTAGGAGCCACTGGTACTTTAGGCAGGGAAATTGTTAGAAGAGCCCTTGATGAAGGTTATGATGTTAGGTACCTTGTTAGACCAAGACCTGCTCCTGCTGACTTCCTTCGTGATTGGGGTGCCACTGTTGTCAATGTGAGCTGTTTTTGCTCTCGTTTTCTGCTTGCCAGTATAGGTTTTGTTAAGTTGTTGTAGATGGATTGATTTGGATTTTAATATTGTTTTCAAAATGTGGATGACAGGCAGATCTTAGTAAACCTGAGACTATACCTCCAACAATGGTTGGGGTTCATGCGATTATTGACTGTGCTACTGGGCGTCCAGAAGAGCCCATTAAAACGGCATGTAGTGTTTTGAAAGATTATATCTGTTTAGTTTCTTCATTTTTGGTTTCTATTGAGGACTATATTTGCCTAGAAATGTCCATGTGCATAATGCCTTGCCTCAATAGCAGCCGTTTGTTCATCGTCTTAAGAAAGCAATGGCATCTGCCTTGTATTGAAATTGAATGCGAAAAAAAAGAGAGAAAGAAAAAAAAATCCTTTTGTCCGCTAAAGTCTTCCACATAAACTGGAGATGGTGTGGTGATGCCCACTTCTATTAGTTTTTACATTGAATATGATTGGATCGACCCATAGACCTTTCTCATCTTGTATGTGTTGCTCGATATTTTTTCTTTCCCACAATTTTCTTTCTTCACAGTTAATAATATATATTTTCCATCTGGACAGTGTTTTGATTCTAAGAAGAATTGAGTAGCACATGCCTTCTTTAAAAATGAACTTGTCTAAGACAGGTTAATATCTTCGATGACCTTTATATATTTTTCCTCTGATTGTAATGCCTGGAAATCTTACGTGGATGTTCCTGATTGTGTTTTAATATGTTCTTGTTGGCCTTATCTGATCCATATATTCTGTTTAGGTAGACTGGGAAGGAAAAGTTGCTCTTATACAATGTGCAGAAGCAATGGGAATACAGAAATATATGTTCTATTCTATTCACAACTGTGACAAGCACCCTGAAGTTCCACTGATGGAGATTAAGTATTGCACCGAGAAGTTTCTTCAGGACTCTGGCCTAACTCATGTCATAACCGGTTATGTGGTTTCATGCAAGTAAGTGTCACCCAAAATAAATTTTCATGAAGTTTTGATCTGTGTTCTCTGTTAGCTAGACACATGGCACAATACCACTTCATCCATCATTGTCTCCAAAATCTTTGATCCCACATCACCCCTAACCTTGCGAAAAATGCGTGCCTATATAGGTGCCTTACATATACTCCTGATGTACTTGGGAAACAACAATTGTTTGTGGAAGGTTGCGTGAATCTATTCGTGTACCTAAAAGTGTAAGCATATTGACAATGTGCAGACAGTTCGTATTCTCTAAAGGATCCTGGCCAGGAAAATGATGACATTAATATGAAAAAGTAGTTGTTTTGAGTATGCGTGTTTTGATGTTTCTTTCTAATTTTATGGTTTTGGTTTTGCCTCGGCAAATTTTTCCTCTGATGTTATTGATCCAGCTGAAAATGACGGTTGCTAATTTATCCAGGGTCTTATTGGGCAATATGCAGTACCTATACTAGAAGAGAAATCTGTTTGGGGAACAGATGCCCCCACAAGAATTGCTTACTTGGACACCCAGGTTAAAGATTCTCAATTGCTTGGGTAATTAATTTTGTGAAGTCAAGCTAAAGCTGAGATTTCCTTTTTCCTATTTGCTATCTTTCTTGTTTTATTAGGATATAGCTTGATTGACATTAATCGCATTACGGAATGAGAAAATTAAAGGGAAGCTCCTCACATTTGACAAAATTTAACCTTTAATAAAGACCAACAATGTCATTCTTCTGAAATCTTTTTGCCAACTTAATGATGATGCTTGACTATTCATCCGTCTTGTTGCTAGAAGGCCCTGTTAGTTCCAGGTTTTCTTACCTCAAGTGATGAAGTGAATATTCAATGCGTTGGGTTGGACCAAAGTGAATGGTGATACACTTTATCTGTTCTGTGCTAAACATGCTGTCTTGGTTTTAGGTCATAACATTGGGTGAGAGGCTGGCAGGGCAGGGTGCAAATGTTACTACTGTTCCGGTTTCTATCTTGAGATTCACTCGTCAATTGACTAGGTTTTTTGAGTGGACAAATGATGTTGCTGACAGACTAGCATTTTCTGAGGTAACCAGTTCTCATCTTTCGTTTCACCTTCTAGCCATGTTACATAAAGCAAGCGTCTTATCAGTTAGCATTTTTTGTCCTGCATTGAAGCATGTAAAGATTACAATTATGGAAGATCTCTTAAAGTATGTAAACTATATTGTCGAAACAGTGAATCGTTAGTAGTCTTCTTGATATGTTGGGGTATACTATGAACCTTGAGAGATCGACTGAACACCTGCTGTTATGCTGCTTTTCGCATCAACTCCATTTGAGGACTTCATAAAGTCTCAGTTTCACCTGCATCATAAGCTCACAAATTTTCAGATGTCTACACTCATGATTTTTGCTTTGAGATTTTGTTTCCTTTCCGGCTTTATATGGAATAAAGCAAAACTGAGGTTTTTCCTTCTCCTACGGGGTATTCGTAGGTAAGCTTACGAGTGATATCGTTTTCTCCGATCCAATGAATGGGACATACAATCTTCTTGGGGTGGACCAGAAAGATATAGTTACACTGGAGAAATATCTGCAGGATTACACAAACATTCTAAAGAAATTGAAAGACCTCAAAGCACAATCAAAGCAAAGCGACTTCTGCATATGAAGAAAAACTGTTATGTCGCTGTGAATGAAGCATAAATATGTATGTAAGCACAAGTTTTATGCTTGGCAAAATGTATGAATGGGTAAAGCCTACTCATATTCCTCAACTTGGTATTCACTCTTTCCTCTATCTCACTCGTTGTTTTCTTTCGTTTGGTTAAAGGGACCAAAGGAAAATAGAAACTACAATGCTTTATTTCATAAGAGTTGATCAAAGAGAAAATTTTGGTTGGTTGGTAACATGTTTTGCCATCTACTTATGGACTATGTACTGGTTGGTAACATGTTTTGCCATCTACTTGTGTGTATGGACTATGTGCTTGTAACACCCACTTGCATTTTCTTTCAATTCTCTTGAATGCCTTGGCTCTGAGGCCCAGTAGTAATTTCTTAATCCTTCACTCTCCAATTTAATATGCTTTAAGGCATGGCCTTGAGGTTAAGAACCCTCTGGAAACTAGAATGTTCTAAGATTACTGTCTGTTAAAAAGTAGTTTTTTTAAAAAAATAAATTTTTGAAAAGTAAATTATTTTATGATATTTAATAGTA